AGAGTCAATTCTGTATCTCGAAACGAAGTGAAAATTACAAAAATGAGCACATTCACTAGGCACTGACCAATGAAATTACGAATATTCTAGTATATTTGCTCACTTTTGTAATTTTCACTTCGTTTCGAGATACAGAATCGACTCCCAGGAGCCATAAGCCAAGGTTTGTTCGCGCCTCACGCCCCAACGTGCTCCTACTCGCTTCAACGTACTCTGATTGGTCCGTGTGGTGACGTGAGCCAATCAGAGTGCGTTGGAGCGAGTAGGAGCACGTTGGAGCATGCGACGCGAACAAACCTCCAGACTCCGTTATATTTTTATAGCGTGTTCGATTGGCTCTGGGTTAATCGCTCCAAGAGTGATTATTGACGTCACAAAACTCCACTAGCCAATCACAAAATTTATACGAAAATGTTCGACCAATGAACTTGAGTTTAATAACTCAGAGTCGATTAACCCAGAGCCACTCGACACGCTGTTAATTAGCATGATTGCACAACAAATAAGAGAATTTTCTTTTTTAATTAGTGTGACTTTTATTTTCCAACAGTACGACTTAACAGTGCATCCATCAACATTTAAATACTGTCTTAGGGTAGAGTTTCATAGCACGTATTTCCGCGTAACGCGTAACCAATCACATCTTTTTATTCTTTTAGAAGTTCCAACAGAAATACTAAACGTCGCAATTTATTGGTTACCCGCTTACGCGGTACACGGAAAATACATGCCATGAGACTTCAGCCTTATTTCTGTTAAGAGAAAAGTAAACATATACCTAGATAGAATACAAAATCATTTTGATGTCAAGATGATATCATTTTGACATCAATGTCATGAAATTATCATGAAAATGGTATCGTTTGACGTCAAAATGACATCACTTTTATATCATTTAACTTCATTTTGACTTTCATATGACTTTATGTTCTACCTGAGATAAGACGTGTTATAAAGATATACAACACACTTATGCATTTCAGACTCAGAGTTATTTATTAACACAGTGTGCTTACAGCATTTATTAGACTAACGAGGGAGAAATTTACTAATAATTTGGCATTGGGAAATGATCGCTTCTTAATAATTACATGTGTACGCGCTTCCTCGTCAAGTCGGAAAGCAAGTCAAATGATGCTGCGATGTGTTCATCGGGTGTCAGGTTTCAAAAATCGCGTCAATTCAATGCAATGTTTCTTTCGTTTTTTTATATTCCTGCCGATACGTCACACTTTAATTATACGTTAATGTCAATACTAATAGCGATAGAATTTTTTATCGAAGAACAACGACGCAAGCGAAATTGTTTGCACAGTTTCTTCGTCGTTCAATGAAATAGATTCTTTGATTCGACGAGTACAGCAACGAATACAGATCTCGTGATAAAATTTGGAATCTTCCTAGTCAGTCTTTTTTCTTCTCGCGAGATTATCACAGAATTCGAATTATTTAAACGAGCTGTTTAGTCGCAGAAATTGACGCGATCTTTGTCACGTAACTTAGCATATTTGGTGTTAACGCTGCGTCCAAGTCGGTTGTATGAATGTGTATTTGCACAACCGAAATTTCAAAAGTTTCATTTTTTTATGGATCAATTCCATGTCCTCTTTTTCGTATATGAGCCTATTGTATTTATTATACCGATAAGAAAGACTAGAATTGATATTGGTGATTATAGCTTGTTAATATCAAAAAATTTCGTAACAGGCACGTAAAGCATGAAAACGTTCCTTCGACTTATCTTCTCTTTTCTCTGTAAATGAAACGATATTGTCAACAATACGTATCGTCCGTCGACAATTTCAACAATTACGTCTTTTTGTATGTTCGTTTCTTTCTTTCGTTTTTCTTCTTTTTTTTTATTAGAGTTATAAATAGTACGGAGTGTTCAACATTCGATCAATTACAACGTTAAAAAGTGCATTAGTATTACGAGTCGTCGTTCGTATCAAGAGTCGAATTGATGACAATATTAGTAGACGTGGCAAGCACAGAGTTAGAATGTAGTCGATCATGCAATGGTGTATAAAAAGTTTTGTTAGCGCAACGTACTTATGTTTCTAACGACGACCGATTCCATTTTCTCTTGTCTCTCGATTGCGGGTGGATTCTCATTTGTGAAATCCCAATGTTTGCAGTTACGTAAGAATGTCTTTGATTGCGTGTAGAATGTCTTCGATCGACCGCACAACATGTGTACCTTGATGATAGATCTTAACTTTAGAGTAACCCTTAATTTGACCGTACCTGTCTCGTGCAACGAGAAATTTTCAAAAAAAGTTACATATATTGGATTATTCTATACCTATATATTGTTTTCTTTTTTTGAATAAAATTTCGTCCGGATATACGTGCTAGACGTGGCACATATAAATGTATATTTTGCAAGATACGACGATTAAATTCAGGGTTAATATTAATTACAAAATTTATTGCTGATTGTAACTATTGTCGATCGAAAACGCACTCTTCTTTCCTGTATATTATGGAAATCCTTTGGTCTCACTTTCTCTCTCTTTCTCTCTCATGGGAAAACGTGTTAAGATTCACAATATTTCAAAAAGAAAGAAATAAAAGGACAGCGCACAGAATACATAAGGATAAAACTTAAAATAAATATATTAAACACTCCTCTCCTACATATCGGTGCATTACTTTTTAACGGAAGATTAAATTTTTTCATTAATTTATCGTTAAATTAATGAACGCCATTGCTTGTTTACAGCTGGCTGATGTTGCGATCAGCGCTTATGTACACGGATTACATCAGTTCGTCATACAATTCCGCTTGCTCTTGGAAAAACTCCCGATCTTTTTCTTTCTACGTAGGTAAAGATTTCGTTAGTTCGTTTCTCGGTCGCACGAGGTTTTATCGTGGCAGTATATAAGGCATGCACGTTCTTGTTTGTTTCATATATATATTTTAATGTTTTAATTTCTTGTTATTCTTCTTTCGCGTTTTGTCTTCTTATAGCCTATACGTGTTTGCGACACTATTACGACGTTTACGATCTACAATCGTCTGCTCGTCGCCGAACGAGAAACGAATTGAACGCTGGATATATTTAACATGCCGGTTCTCCTTAGCGAAAATTCGAACAACTTTGAGTCAAAATTTCAACATACAATAAGCAAAACTACTTCTCGTGAGTGATTATCAAGTAGGTCGCTATAATGACAAACACGATTTATACGTTAAGTCTTATCTCACTGCTACATTCAAACTTCACGTTTTTTTTCCAATGATAAAAATCGTTAGACATCAACATGCACCTAACATCAATAGAGATTGCTTATCGATTTTTTTTCTTCCTTACGCTAACTTCCTTTTGTTACACGTGATAACTCTTGTTCAGGATATTATTACGTCTACTATTTACAATTAACTTGAATCCAATAATACTTGATAGCGACGCCGAGGCTACGGCTTCCTCAATAAAATACTCTCCGATAAAGTGTGACTTACTTGATTCTGTCTTCAATTAGGTTTCTGTTACTCACTAACGCCCAGCTATAATGTAGAACTAAGCGAAGGTGTGATCATTATCTACACACAGTTCTATCGTTCAAACCGCGCGGTCCGGTAAATTATAAATATAGTATGAAAAATGTCTATTAGTTTTTTTTTCTCAGATGAATAAATACTATACACATTTTGAGGAGGGGAGGAGAGTAAGAGAACAGGGACGGGGATGGATTAAAACTTTTTTTTCTGTTTATGCCAGGTGATCTCGATTGGATCCTGCCCAATTCGATTCGCAAACTCGCGCCTATAGACTTAGTTCTATCCGCGGCCGGCTCTTTTAGCTGTCGTTCTTTAGCGCGCTTCGTGATGTACATATAAAACGACACTAAACTCTATTACGTACGCTAATAGAAGTTCACGGCAGTCTTGCTGCTTGTGTATTATGCTTGCGTTCTCGCCTCCTTTTCTCATTAAAATCGCACGATGATATCGAATGGCGAAGAATGACACCTATAATTTCATTAACACGAATAGATTGAAGTGAATGATTATTGCTATTTACAATTGTTGTCGCCGTTGCGTTAGAAAAACGCCGGTCATGCTTATCTCGTTTGAGAGCACGAAGCGCACTAGAAGAAAATTGGGTATACAAAGGTGTTAAGGTACCTTCTTATTTGCGATTTGGAAGAGTTACATTATACTTCCGTAGTGCGACTGTAAGGACCAGACTCATCAGATTGCGATAGTTTTCGCTCTCGTTTGGCAAAGAGACCCCCTAAAAAAGACGGCTGCTGAGCCAGTCCCTTACCACTGCCAGGGATCGTAGCCCCTGAATGAATAGGATGAACTTGTCCAGGGTGCTTAATGCCTTGGCTCATTGAGCTGGCAGAAGTAGATTGAAAGGAAATAGACATACCACTATCTAGAGAACCCACGCTTCCACGGCGCTGCGGCTTTTCACCAGCAACTAGAGATACATATATTTATGTGTTAAATGAATATATATTACTCTTTTCTCTCTTAAATGTACATTAGAACGCATACCAAAACTTCTTAATCGCAGGTCTAAAATTTACTCTATTCAGACTGATCAAAATAACGAAAAATAAGAAATAAAGGAAAATTAATTATGCACAACGTTTTTCTTTCATATGTAATCTTAAAAATTACTCATAATAGTATTACATTGCGACAAAATAAAAAGAATTTGGAAAATAAAAGCAAGCGTTTTCATATCCTCATATTCGTAACTTATACGTTTTCGAGACAATAAGCTTGACAAACGTAATTCCTGCAATTATGTAGCTGTTGGTACATGACTTACGCGTTTTATACTTACACTGCTCGTGTATATCCAGAAGAGAATTACTGAGGGCGGAACGTTTCAATTGTGTATCGACATCGACCGTCTCTGCTCTTTCTGAGCAAGTTCCCGGGCAGGGACATATTTCCACGTCGGCGACACCAGAATCCCTATTCTCCGCACCGCCTCGTGCGCCCCTGCTGCTTTTTTGCCTCTCCAATTCTGTTTCGATGCGCAAAGTCTCCATCTCATCCATCTCACTGATAGACTCCCTGAGGTCTTCCACGAATTTACATCTGTCGTGCTCGTTTCGAGCGTTAAATGTGACTAGAACTTTTCCGTCGACGCGCTGAGAGAGCCTTATTCCGTATGGATAATCTGTAAGATAAAAGAATGTCAGAAATATATAAATCAGATAAATATTGATATAGTCTCGTACATATAGATATCTCATTGTGGAAACTTACGAGGAACCTCGAATAGCGTAACTATCATACCGCAGAGCGGGAAGCTCTGCCTGAAAGTGTAAGTTACACTGTTCTTCTTCTTACTCAGGATCTTGGTGACGACAAGCAGATCGTTAAAGAGGAAAACCTCCCTTTGATGAACGCCCGGTCTCTCTTTCTTGTGAATGTCCGGTATTTCATAGAGCCTGCAGTAGCAGACCAATCTTCTATGTGGTAGTGCCATATTTGGCTTCTTTCCAACAATAGTGGCCTGGACCTTCATTACTTGTGACACATGGTCGGAGCCTGGCTTGAATTCGTTATCCTTCACCCTTTCATAAATACCGACTAGGATGTCTCTCTCTATGTCGCCGCAATCGTCGATACCTCGGAGATTCTTCACGAAATCCTCGAGCCTCATTCTGCGTTCGGGCTTGAGGTTCGGCGTATGCAAATCTGTATTAAGCATGATAATGGCGAAGGCAAGAACGAAAACGGTGTCTGGCGACCGCAGCCTCGATATCACGTCAGGATTGCATTGACAGTAACGCTGACTGAAGACCTCCATCAACCGCTCGATTTTCTGCGCCTCACCGGGCATTCTGAAGTAGGCTTGAAACTTTCGCAAAGCGACATCCACTTGCATCCCGGAGAGATCCAGCTCGTGAGAGAAACATCTGCAAGTTACGAATAAAACTTTATATGCACGCACACACACACACACACACACACACACACACACACACACACACACACACACACACACACACACACACACACACACACACACACACACACATCATATAACAAAAAAATATATATACTTAAAAAATATATAAACTTGATAATATAATAATTATGTTATAAAAAATTATCACACTTTTATATCTTTTCTAATAAACTTGTTAATTATGAGATTGTTTTTTTATTATTTATTTTTATAAAAAATTATTAATTATTAATTATTTATTTTTATTATTTATTTATATATATATATGTATAGATTAATAGATATAATAAAATATTAATAGATATTAATAATGAGCCACTCACTCGAGCACCGCCATATTGAAAGTGTTCTGCAAATTCCCGAGGTATTCCCCTATCATTTGTTTGGACAAGCCTTTTCGGCTAATCAAGAATCGCGCGACTCCCTGTGGGCTGTTCTCCAGAAAGCCGCGTCTAATTAAGTAACTGATTCCTCTCTCTGGCTTTTTATTGAAAAGATTTAGGCCAACTCTGTACTGCCGCTTTCTCACCGTCTCGGAAACCTTGTAGCTGGTTTGCGGCAGACTCTCCGTGTGATCCATTAAAGGGAGCTGATAGCCGGAGCTGGCGTGCGAGTGGCCGAGCTCCTTGACGTTGGTAGCAATCGTCGTCGCATCCGCATTATGACTCGCACATTCCTGGTGTTCTGGCGAACTCGACTGATTTCACAATCAGAGAACGATTATTCCGTTAGCGTCTTCCGCTTTATCGTCTTTGTGAAATCCGCCGTTAACTCACGCACTCAGAGAGTTGTTAACGTACGTAAAAAAAAAGAAAAAAGTCAAGTGCACATATACTTACGATCCCTTTATGCTTCCAGACCGGAGATCCTCGTTGAGCGTCGCCTTCGGAACTCTCGCAGTTGGTGGAATCGCTGCCCGAACTTTGCACCGAACTGAGACTGCCGTTCTCCACACTCTTGCTAAGACCATTGTGACGCGGCTCCATGGATCTCGAGGTAATGGAGGATGTTCTCTTCGGCACCTCCGGCGGGATCTTCTTGCCGGAGCCTCTTGTTCTACTTGGACCAAGCTGATTGACATTGTTCCAGTTTTGTGATATAGTCGTCTGTAGATTATGCGGAGTCGACGGCGATGTGCACGGTGTTCGCAGCAGGTCTCTAGGCGGTGTCTCTTGCCTCAGGCCGCACAAAGCCTCCTACGTATGTAAACGAACCTCTCTTTATCGAGTCGCAATTGATCACGCGAGATATGTCATTGCGGAAAATTATCACTCACGTCCGGCTCGGGGAGCAACGGGAATCCAATAACCGAGCGCTATCGAGTATCCCCTTGCCGTTTAACATCATTACCGCTTATCGACACTCACCTGTGGATTGTAGTAATGGATACTGGAGCCGCTCTCTTGGGAGCTTGATTCCCAGCAGGGACTCGGCGGTAATTGCTGGTGTCTGTTGCACGGGCTAGGCGCCAATGAGGGCGTATGCCTGCCGCTCTGATGCAGGCTGTGATTCGCCGGATGCTGATGGCCGCTTACTTGAATCTCGCATCTACCGCTCTGACTCCTCGGTATCGGCGACTGAGAACTTTCCACGTGCCGCCTCTCCCTCAGAGACATGCTTCGGATCGGCATCGGTCTATTAGATTCGCAGCGAATTTTAGCGCGACGGACTTACGACATACGACACAGGAAGTACATCCACGCGTCTTGCGTAAGCAGTGTTACCTGTTAGCGGATTGCGGCTGCTGTATATATATCTGGCTGTGATAGACCATTCGCTCGTGATCGCTGAGATTGCGTTCGGTCGCCTCCTGCAGCTTCCTGCTCAATCGTTTTTCTGCCTTGGCCATTGCCGTGATCGCCGCGAACTTCTTCAGCAAAGTATACCTCCGGAAGGCACGCTGGATCGTCAACGCCGCGTTCCTCGCCTTCACGCCGCCGTACTTCCGTTCCAGCATCTCGATCTGCTTGTCGAGTAAATCCTGCGACAATTCATACCTGTGGAAACGAGAACATCGTAACATATAACTTCCAATCAGAATCCTCCTTCCGATGCTGGAATGTAATCAGCAGTCGCGGTTCTGTGTCTTCCCCGCGGAAACTGGCACATACGTATAGGATTACGACTTACGCGGTCTGCAGCCGACATCTCTTGAGCACGTCGCCGTTGCGGACAGATCCCTTCTTAAGGTGATTCTGCTGATAACCGGCGGCCGACTGCGGTTGCCCACCGAAACCCTGCACCATAGTGCCGTAACTCTGCGGCTGCGAGTAGGCCGTATTGTGCGGATAGACCTGCACGCTCGCAGTGGGGTACGGCCCGTGTGACGCATAATTCTGGCCCTGCATGTAGGACTGGCCGGTGATGTAGGATGTCGACAGAGACGTTTGACTGCCGGACGAGTACGCAGTGTGCATGCTGTTGCCGTGGACCTGGCTGGCGGCCGTGCTGTGCGACGTCATTGGTCTCTCCACCTTCGGCGGGAAGCTGCGCAAAAAATAATTAAAATTATTAGTCAATCGATCACTCAAAATTAGTCAATTTCTGTCTGGAGTGACAGTCGAGGAATTTTTTTCAAACTTGGCTTATCAATCCAGCTCATAAATCTTAACTTGGTTATATTTATATTATAACTGCATATGTATGAATGCAATGCTTCAAGTTGTCAGAATTGAATGTTATTGCTGACGCATATGCGCAGAAATCAGTTATGACAGAAACCGAAGTGACAGTACAGAATGTGACATTTGAAATTTGGAAGAAAGCATTATTTTAAATTAAAAGAATATTATTTTGAGAAGTAATTTTTATATATTTATAACCGATTACTCTTTGCGCGTATATACATATCAACAGTGGTTTTCAATTCTGACAACTGGCGTTGCAATTTCATTGGTAAAAAATATACAAATCGACCTGTAATCCATTACATAACCGATACACGTAACTGGTTTCCAGAAAATACTTTCAGATACTGTGGAATACTCATTCCCAACAATGAATCACGAAGCTAGGACAATTTAATTGAACAAACACGGCCGTTATGCGTAGCACAAAGTTGACAGGACCGTAAGCAGATAATTGAAATGAAGCGACGATGCGCGCTGCAACATTCTGCTCACGATGGCGACGGTCGACTTCACGCCAGGTGTTACTAATTATATCAGACAGACGCGTGTGACGGACGCGCAACTGACGTCCGCGGATCATAAAAGTAAGAAGGACGCACCCCCTGAAATGGGAAACGCAAATGATCATGTTGCTGCCGTCGAACCGCTCAGCAACGCGCTCGATTTTCCACGTGTATCAGATTGCCACGATCTATCTTCGTCTATGATGCCAGTGCTCGTCGCTTGCGTGCACTCTCCTCTCGCGGAGGACAGACGATGAACGTTTATACGATTCACTCTCTCGCGTGATTACGCGGAATTGTCTTGGATCGCGTCTCTGATGAAATCTATCGTAGCACACGGGCGTTTTCAAGATGCGTGTCGACCGACCGACTCGAGCACCGAAGACGAACTGAAGAACTGCAAGAGGAGAAAGAGAGCAGCTGGCTGGTATCCTTCGAGCCGACCACCGGGACGAGAAATCCCTGGAACGATCGAGGACGAGGGGTACGAGTACCCCCGGACGTACAAAGGCGTGTACTATGTGTCTGTATATCCGATATATCCGACCCGTGTGCATCTGGCAGGTGCGCGATGGTCTCTTAACGACCACGAGGAGCACGACGAAGAAGACGAAGATGACGATGACGACGGTACTTGACCGTGACACTCAACCTTCCGCTGCAGCGACGAGAATTACGCAATACGCATCAATTAAGCGGTTTACGTAAGGATCCAGCATAACCGCGAATAAGCAAATGAACGCGCGGAGTATGACAAATGCATGCACGCCGGTCGCAGAGACAAAACGCAACGTGACTACGGCAGAGTGGTGTGTCGACGAACGAGAATTCATTTGCACATTTCCTCGGCTTTCGAATGTCGTGCGATAAAGCATTTCTTTGTCGAGTAAACGGATAATATTGGGGCACCTCGTCGTGCGAGAAAGGAGAATATGGCGTAACATGCATGTGAAACTGAGTCATACATGACAAGAAGTCGTCATAATTGTCGACTAATTATCGCTAATTGTACACGGAAAAAAACATTTGATTAAATTAATCCAACAATGAAAGAACCAAACGCATTTTGGTTAAAGTAGAGTTTTAGATTTACAGAGAGGCGACAATGAAAATGAATCTGAATCAAATAAAGCCCAAGCGCCATATTGTTTCACAGTGGCTAATAGTCATGTGGTAAATACTTTTATTGGATATTTTTAACATATGATATACAATGAAGTACTTTTTCATGTGTCGAGTTACGTCAAGCTAATTCATGAGGCGAATATTCCTATCTTAGGTAATCATTGAGGTTAACTTTACATATTGTTATACATATAAAATGGCAATTTTCGACGTAATCTCAATGTTATTTCTCTGTAAATTTAGGGCTTTAGGTTGAAGGAAATAAAATTTTTGGTTGTTATGTGTAAACCAAATTCGATTCTAAGAACCAGAAATTCCGTTTGTTTTATCTCCAACTCCTCCAACACGTTTCATTTCTTCATATATATATTGTCAAGTTAATTCAACCAAACTTTTTCCTCCATGTCACGACATAATATCAACAGACAATTAAGCCCGAAACAAACGGTCGAGAAATCGATGGTATCGTGCTCGTTGTAAAATCCATCGCTCTTGCAAGTCGAGCTCTATATTCTCCCGCGGCAATCAGTGCGTGTACCATTAAACGTTTATACGATAATGCGAATAGACGTTTATACAAATGCGATGTCTTCGTATAACACGCAACTATATCGACTTGCATCTCGGTACAATGTGCCAATTTCGAGATTAAACCATCTACCGTTCTAGAAACACGCGATCGTCGTCGCGGGCGATTTAACGGCGGCGAATCGATCTTGCCACCACAATGAATCGTTACTTCGCGAATCAGTTTGAGATTCCAAGATAGATGAGAACAATGTTGGGAGCGCGTTTTTGGGGCAGGCAGGAGCGAAGTCGCCCCTGGACATAAAGAAAAATAAAGAAGCGAGGAGCGTGGCATTAGAGAGCTTCCCCGTGAGGAGAAACATCTGCTCCGACGAATGCCTACGACTCGCGTGCCACGATGAGCGCGTGCTATCGGGGTCTCCTCCGCCCCGCGCTGCCTCGCCTTCGCGACGCAGGCACTCGCTCGCGCCTGCCTGCCTGCCTGCCTGCCTGCCTGCCTGGCCTGCTGTGCTCCGACACGCACCTGGCTCGGACTTTTTTTTCGGGGAGTATACTTTGGGCGGTCAAATGCACGGTTTCTCCTTTTCCCCCTTTTAGCAGTTCCCTCTCTACAGCCTATCTATTATCCACGTTCTTGCTTTGATACGAAAGATCAAAGGTTTCTAGTTTAGATGAAAAAATAGAGGGTTTTCACGAATTTATTTCAATAAAATTAGTAAATATATCAATATAGGATTTCGATCATACTATTTATTGTTGTTCAAGTATAAACAAAAATTTTTTTTTTTAATTGAAACTCTGCTCAGTTTTTTATGCTAAACGCAATGGTGCCGGACGGCTTTAATTAGTGCACAACATTGTAGCTCGTATAATATCTGAAACAAATGTGTGGGACAAGAAAATTTAAAACATATATTAAATTTGCTGGAAGATGAACCTTTTTGGAGAAATCTTTTTTGGAAATCCTTTGAAAAATTCGCAAAATTAGTATTTTTTTTATGATACTAAATAAAAAGGAAAGAAAGAGAGCAAAAATGACTTGTAACTTCGAAGTGTCGCCATTTTGTTAAATTTCGACTTTCTGCATATGACAAAGGTTCATCCTTCAGAAAAATTAATATAGTTTTCTAATTTTCTGCTTCAATTTATATTTCAAATTACTATAAAAACGATAATGTTACCACCAGCTAAAGGCGTTTGGCGATACCGCGTTTGGTAAAAAAAAAAAAAACGGACAACAAAATTTCAAATTTGTTTAATAAAAAATAATTCTTATACTTAAAACAATGATAAATAGTATGGTCAAAATTCTATATTGATATTTTCACCCAATTCTTTTAAAAAAATTCCTAAAAATTTGTTATTTTCTCGGTTATCTAAACCAGAACTTTTCTTTAAGAGAAATATAGATAAGTCAGCTACACTTGAGATGAGAAAAGGAGCTTTTGAAGTATTATTTTTCGAAGGAGGAGACGTCTCTGGAGAATCGACGAATATGGGAACCTTGTTATAAAATTATTATGGATGAGAGAGAACTTTGTTATGGAATTATACAGAAGAAACACTCTACGTCCCAATTTCTAAGGAAACTCGGGAAAATGCCGTATATCTTCTCCGCAAGAGTGTGTCTGATAAAAACAGCGTGATGTGTTTCGGTGATATTACTAATTCGACGATATCTCTTCCGGCGTTTTTGCAAACTATTGTTTTTCCACTGATTAGAATTATCTCGTTTTATTGCAGAGTATCACTCTTCACATCCGCGATAATTTATTAATGTCTCCGTTTTCTCGGAAGTGTCGTCACGCAAGTCAATGCCAAAGTATCGATGCAATGGGCACCAAGATGCACACACAATAAACGCGTACGCGTTATCGGCGTGCATCGCGCGTGACGATGACGATGTATCGCGCTTATTTGTCGGATTTCTCCGTTGAAAGCAACGGATATGTAGCGTCTTGTTAACTCCTTAACACGCGTAATCCAATATATCTCTAAAGCACATGCAAATGTTCCCCGTCTTCGCGAGTCAGCGGGGACAAGGAGGTCGGGGGAGGAGGAGTGAATTGCTGCGTTGCAATAGCTCACATTCATTATCATTGGCCTAAATGCACACAATATAAAGTCATTTGCATACTGCGAATTCCCCGGGCGAATGACAAATTGGTCTGTATCGTTTTCGTGTTTCGCGGGAACCGTGTTGTTTACACATCGCGCATTTTGTGTCACGGGCGAAAATGTTTCCCTTACCGAATTAATCGAGCACGGGGAAGCGCGAGCTGACGCGCTTAAGTGACGACAGTTCGATAAAAGCGCTGACACATGCGATCAATTACGATGTGGAAATCGACTGACAGCTCGTTTCCACGAGGACTCTCGAAAGTGTATTTAAGGACGTTTCTCTCCCTCTTTCTCTCTCTCTTTCTCTCTGTTCTACTTCTTCGACACCTCGCATGATGCAGATGCGTGTGAGTTGCGCGCGAGAGTACCATTACTCCTGTCTATTACGTCTGCCAACGTAGCTTATTCACGGGACGCGTTACGGTATCGAAGTGATACTAAGGAACTTTACGATGCGGATTAGTGCAAAAATCACTTCGACAGATTCTTAACTGGGCCCGCAAATGATTGCGGCTTCTCGATGGAAAGCACACTTTCCGGATGCAGCGACAGCATTTTATTGATCTGCAAGAGTTTTGCC